GCAAAACACAAAAGAAGCAGAGAGAAATAATAAACATAGGAGCCGAAATTAATGAAATAGAGACCAAAAAAAAAAAATACAAAGAATCAGTGAAACAAAGAGCTGGTTCTTTGAAAAAATAAACAAGATTGACAAGCACCTGGAAAATCTGACTAAAATGAGGAGGGACAAAACCCAAATTAATAAAATCAGAAATGAAAAAGGAGAGATAACAACAAACACTAAGGAAATCCAGACAACCAACAGAGACTACTTTGAAAACCTATATTTCAATAAATTGGAAAATCTTGAAGAAATGGACAAATTTCTAGATATTTATGATCATCCAAAACTGAATCAAGATGATATTAACCACCTAAACAGATCTATAACATGTAATGAAATTGAAGCAGCAACAGAGTCTCCCAAAACAGAAAAGTCCATGGCCTGACAGATTCTCAGATGAATTCTATCAGACATACAAAGAAGTACTAATACAAACACTCCTTAAACTTTTTCATAAAATATAAAGGGAAGGAACACTGCCTAACTCATTCTATGAAGCCAGCACTGCACTCTTCCAAAACTGGATAAGGACACATCCAAAAAGGAGAACAGGGTAATCTCCAACATCAATACAAAAATCCTCAATAAAATAATAGCAAACCAAATCCAACAACATATCAGAAAGATCATTCACCATAACCAAGTGGCTTCATCCCAGGGATGCAGGGATGGTTCAACATATGCAAATCAATAAATGTAATTCAGCACATTAATAGAAGCAAAGATTAAAAACCACTTGATCATCTCAACAGATGCAGAAAAAGCCTTTGACAAGCTCCAACACCACTTCATGATAAAAGCTCTAAGAAAACGAGGAACAGAAGGAATGTACCTCAACATTGTAAAGACTATATATGACAAACCTATAGCTGACAATATTTAATGGAGAAAAACTGAAACCATTCCCCCTAAAATCAGGATGAGACAAGGGTGCCCACTATCTCCACTCCTATTCAACATAGTCCTAGAATTCCTAGCCAGAGCAATAAGGCAAGCAGAAGAAATAAAAGGAATATAAATAGGTAAAGAAACTATGAGAATATCCCTATTTGCAGACGACATGATCCTATACCTCAAAGACCCAAAAAACTCCACCCAAAAAGCTCTAGACACCATAAACAACCTCAGCAATGTAGCAGGATACAAAATCAACTTACAAAAATCAGTAGCCTTTCTATACACTAACAATGAACAAATTGAGAAAGAATACAGGAAAACAATTCCATTTCCAATAGCCTAAAAAAAATACCTAGGAATAAACTTAACAAAGGATGTAAATGACCTCTATAAGGAGAACTACAAACCACTGAAGAAAGAGACGAAGGAAGACTACAGAAGGTGGAAAGATCTCCCATGCTCATGGATTGGTAAAATCAATATAGTAAAAATGGCTATACTACCAAAAGCAGTCTACATGTTCAACACCATTCCCATCAAAATCCCAGTGACATTCATCACAGAGATTGAAAAATCTACCCTGAAGTTCATTTGGAAACACAAAAGACCACAAATAGTCAAGGCAATACTGAACAAAACCAGAATGCTGGAGGTATCACAATACCCGACTTCAAACTATACTATAGAGCCATAGCAATAAAAACAGCACGGTACTGGCACAAACAGATATAAAGACCAGTTGAACAGAATAGAAGACCCAGATATGAATCCATGTGTCTATGCCCACCTTATTTTTTTTAAAGACACCAAAAACATACAATGGAGAAAAGACAGCCTCTTCAACAAATGGTGCTAGGAAGAGTGGTTATCTATCAGCAAAAACTGAAACTAGATACATGCCTGTCACCCTGCACTAGTATCAACTCAAAGTGGATTAATGACCTTAATATCAGTCCTGATATCTTGCAGTTAGTACTAAAGAATACCCTGGAAACAATAGGTATAGGCAAGGACTTCCTCAGCAGAACTCCAGCAGCCCAGCAACTAAGAGAAAGGATGCACAAATGGGACTACATGAAATTAAATTGCTTTTGCAACAAAAGAAATGGTCTGAAAACTGAAAGAGATGACTCTCAAAGTGGTAGAAAATATTTGCTAGCTATACATATACATCAAAGGACTGATAACCAGAATATACAGAAAGCTCAAAAACCTAAACTCCCCCAAAATTAATGAACCAATAAAGAAGTGGGCAACTAAACTGAACAGAATTTTTTCAAAGGAAGAAGTCCACATGGTCAACAAAACACATGAAAAAATGCTCACCAGCCCTGGCCATAAAGGAAATGCAAATCAAAACCACACTATGATTCCATCTCACTCCTGTTAGAATAGCTAGCATCAAGAACACAAGCAACAACAAATGTTGGTGAGGATGTGGGGGAAAAGGAACCCTCATACACTGCTGGTGGGAATGTAAGCTAGTACAACCACTTATGAAAATAATATGGAGGTTCCTTAAAAACATAGATCTGTCATATGACCCAGCAATCCTACTCCTACGGATATACCCAAAGAAATGCAACTTAGGTTACTCCAGAGGCACCTGCACACCCATGTTTATTGCAGTGCTATTGACAATAGCCAAACTATGGAAACAGTCAAGATGCCTCACTACTGACAAATGGGACAAGAAAATGTGGTATTTATACACAACGGAATTTTACTCAACCATGAAGAAGAATGAAATTTTGTCATGTAACTGGAGAACACCATCTTAAGCGAAGTTATTCAGGCTCAGAAGGCCAAAAAATCATATGCTCTCATTTGTATTCAGATTATAGACCTAAAACAAGTGCAGTAATATTATTGGAAATGGGTCTCTTGCTAAGGGGAGACTGCGCATGGGAGGAATAAGGAAAGGGGAGGAAACCTCAAACTTGAATGTGGTTTATGTGCCCATTGTAGAGGAGCAAATAAAATGATCTTAAACTGACAAGAGGCCACTATGGGAAGGGGAACAGGAAGTAGTAAATAGGTCTGGCAGGGATGAACCAATTTGGGTTGCAATACACAAGTGTATGGAAGCAACGCTAGGAATCTCTCTGTATAGCTATTTCTATCTCAAAGTAGCAAAAATGCTGTGCCTTTCTTATTATCTCCTATGTTTTCTCTTCAACAAAACTGGAGAACAAGAGGGCCGAACAGAAACAGGGGTGGGGATAGTGGGGGTGGTCCAAAACAATGCATACACATGTAAGTAAATGTAAAAATCACAAAATAAAAGAAAGAAAATGTGGTATTTATACAAAACGGAACTTTATACTCAGCCATGAAGAAGAATGAAATTTTGTCATTCACAGGTAAATGGGTGGAACTGGAGAACATCATCTTAAGTGAAGTTAGCCAGGCTCAGAAGGCCAAAAGCCTCATGTTCTCCCTCATACGCGGACTCTAGACCTAAAACAAATGCAGCAATATTATGGGACACAGGTCACACTAATGAGAGGCTGTGCAAGAGAGGTATGGGCAAAGGAAGGAAACCAAAAATTTGAATGAGTTTGATGTGCTCACAGTACAGGAATGAATACAGAAATTTTAAACTGTCTGGGGCCACCATGGGAGGAAGCAGACTAGAGAGGAGTAAAGAGGACTGGAAGAGGCAAATCAATTAGAGCTGTAATACATATATGTATGGGAACAACACAGGAATTTCCCTGTGTAGCTATCTTTCTCTCAAACTAGCAAAACTTAACGTTTCTTGTTTATGTATTATGTTTTTTCTTCTACAAAATCAGAGAACAGGTTCTGGGGTGGGGGGAGTTGGCACCGGTGGGAGGGGGGGAGGTGGCAGGAAAGGGGTAGGAGGATGAATATTGTACAAGCAATGTATACACATGTTTGTAAATGTGAAAATGATACCTGTTGAAACTGTTCCAGGAATCAGGGGAGCAGAGATGGGGAAGAGAAGTGGAGGTAGGGAATTTAGGTATAATGTATTTGATACATTGTAAGAACCTTTTTAAATGCTACAATATACCCACACCCAGCACAACAATAATAAAAAAAAAACTCTATACATTAGTTAAGAAAAATAAAAGCCTACTATGTCCTTGAATGACTAGAAAACCACTAAGGCAATATTTAACTTACCCAAAGCGCTCCTTAATTTCATCAGCAGCATGGGATCAATAAATTTGCTTGCAATGAGGTGATGCTCATAAAAATACATTCTACTGTGTTGGCATGTGCAAATAATGAAAACCATAGACTATTTTGTGTTACTACCTGAAAGGGGCCAACTTAAGAAGTAAAGCAATGGAAATACTTTAAACATGCAGCAGTAATCAAGTTGAGGTTATAGTTTCATTCTTTGTGGGTAGCTGGCAGCATGAGTTCTCTTGGCAGAACTCACTTCTGACACAGAATATTACTTACTAGTCTTGGTGTGTGTTAGGTAAGAGAAAGGAGCCCTACTGGGAAGTCTTAGTTACTATCACAAAATTCCACCAACATTGTGTTTTTACTCTGCACTTCCACAGTTCAGTTTTGCCAGTAGTTACTTGGTTGTTACAGGAAATAGAATATGACTTTGATTCACATAAGCTATGACTTAGATCACTACCATGATTAAAGCTCTGAGATATGTTTCCTTGTAAAATTCTGCCTGCCACACCAAACAGTCTACAATTAGCTAGACTGGAGTAGAAACCCCTGATAATGAAGCAGTCTGTGCAGCATAGCAACCAGAGCATGTCCTAAAGCAAAAGGAAACCTACTGGTAGACAGATACGCAGACATTACTTCAACTGCTCACAAGACTATTGGTAAATAAAAACAACTGAGAAAAACTTTTTTACATGTTGATCATTAATATTCATCAAACTAACAGAATGCGGAATACTATTACTTTTTAAATAATACATTTATGCAGATTTTATAATTATTCCTTATTTTGAAAATCTTTTAGGGCATAAATGTAATAACATTTTAAAACTTTTAGAGAAACAACTAAGTACATCATTTATTCAACTTAAGTTAGTTTAAAACCATCTTACCTGTGTAAAAAGGATAAACTGAGCAAATTGCCAGGGAAGCATAAAAGCAACATTGGAAAGGCAGAGTGCAATGTAATGTCTGCTATGATTGTTCCAAGTCCTTAATGGAAAGAAATAATATGAGTTTTTTGTCATGAAGATAAACCAATCACTGAAAAAAAAAAAGTACTTACAAAATGACAAAATCTGAATGATCCCTTTCCATTCAAATAACACAATAAAACATAATTAACTTTGAAAGTTTGGACCTTTTTAAATTTTTATAAATATCTATCTTAAAGCAATCAAAACTAGAGCTTTAGAAACAATGATTGTATGATTTATCATTAAATTTTTTGGAAGTACTAGGGTTTGAATTTCAGGGCCTTGCACTTGCTAGACAGGCATTCCACCACTTCAGCCACACTTCTAGCTCTTTTTGCTTTAATTATTGATCTAAAAGGTTCTTGCATTTATGCCCAGACCAGACTGGACTGCGATCCTACTATTTATGCTTCCTGTGTAGCTGGGATGACAGGCATATGCTACCATATCCAGCTTTCTTATTGGTTCTTGGGGGCCTCACGAACTTTTTGCTGGGCTGGATCAAATTATAAGCCTCCAGCTCTCTGCCTCCTGAGAAGCTATGATTACAGGCATAAGCCCTTACAAGGGGTCTTTAAATATTTTAAATATAAAGTTTATCTCCCTGTAAATATACATGCTACTCAAAATTTAATGTCCTAACAGATGGTCAGAAAAGAAGACACAATCATGACCCAGCATGCCCCAAGATGTTCATCCAGTAGGCCTAACAAGAGTTTTCATATACCACTGCTTTTATAGTTCAGAAAACAGCAAAGAAAATTACAAGTGCTGACAAAGTTAACAATTATGCAAATAATTAAGGAGAATATTTTAAAACAACAAAAAATAATTTTAAACACAGTTGGATTACTGCAGTTTAAATTGTCCAATATGCAATATCAAAACATATTGGATTCCACCTTTTACCACAGAAGTGCTTAGTATCCTTTAAAATATGCAAAAAAATGTAAATAATAAAACAGCAACTGTTCTTTTTGTAAAGGTTATACTGGGTTTTGATAAATCCTTGTATAAGGGTAGATACGTTTTTAAAAGCAAAAATTTTAATGTGCATATTGTTTAGAATATTCATTAAACAACTGGTAATCTTGTATTTTATCAAACAAAATTACTTTTGGCTAAGATAGAGAGGATAGATAGTGCATGCTTTCATTCCATGAGATTTGTAGCTACTCCAGGATGCACCATTTACCTTCATTTAGTCATATATGAGTGCCTTAAATACTTGCATGGGCATGTGCCAGGCGCTCTGTGGTTAAAAAGATAAATGTAGCATGGTCCCTACTTCCAGTAGTACTTTTTTTTTTTTAGATAGGTCCTCATTACGTAGCCCAGACTGGCCTTGTACTTTCAATCCTCCCGCCTCAGTCTTCCATTTGTTAAGGTTACAGATGTGCATCACCCATACCCAGCTCCAGCAATATGATTTGCAAATTTACAGTTTTAAGAGGAAGGAAAGAGAAAGAAAGAGAAATGAGACATGTACACAAATGATTTTCATATAAGGTGGAATCACCAGGAGATCAGTATGTGAAGCTCCCTGGAAGTGTGGAGAAGATAGTGATTATTATTTCACTCAGTGACAGATCTCACTAACATTCTATGAAATTTATTTCTATGCTACAGTTATTCGTAATATTCTACTATTTGTTTCTCTGACCTCTTACATTTCTGAAAGGCTTATAAACTTAATCCTAACAAGAAATCTGCCCAAGAAAAACAAGTAAGGTGAGATGAAACTGGCTGGATTGATAGAAACATCATTCACAAAAGAATACACACACTTATATATTCATTTGCACATAGAACCCTTCTATATGACACATATATTAATGTTCCATCAAAATCTCTGTTTGGAAAACATAAGCTTTAAGAAAAAATTGTTTCTCAAAAGCCTTGCAAACTATACATGAGCACATATTTTGATTTATTAAAACATAATATTCTTGCTTAAAACCTATAGCCTAAAGTCTTCAATGAAGTTTAATTTTACATAGTAAGTTTTAGATAATCTTCTTAACCCTATAATTTATTTTTTAAATAACTAAAATTAACGGCTTAAATCTGGCAATTGTAACTTAATGGGTTGAAGCAAATTTTAAGAAAAACTACTTAAAATATTTATATTTGTTTTATAAATCAAAATTACCTGAGAATTACAGTTAAAACATACATCTGAAGTACAAGGAAAGGATATGAAAAACTTTCACGGAGAGGTGGTGTCCACATCACACGGGTGGCCTAAAATCAATAAAATGCTCAACTCATATCATGTTCCATTACAACAAACATTGTCAATTTAACAAATCAGGGGTTGACTTACTTTAAAATTAACACTAAGCTCATTAGATTCCATTTCTGAATGCCTAGCATAGCTTCTCAGTTTTTGGAGCTCTCTCACACAGGGCCATTGAGTATAGAGCAATCAACTGCCACACCCAGAAACAAAGGAAAGATCTATCACACCAAGCATAAGGAAGCCCAAGGGAAAAACAAGATGGTAGGAATAGGAGCTGTGAAGATTCCTGGGCCAGAGCCACATCCCAATCCTGCAGGTATGATCCTGGCATCTCAAGACTTTTAGATGTACACCTGTCCCAAAACATATCTAAACAAATGTCACCTAAGGTATTTGCAAACACCAAGAGTTTATACATAACAAGTTCAAGTTAGTATATATATAAACATTATAAGTTATTAATATTTCCTATGAATTTATGAACTACACCTTTAAAAGAGTTGACTATAAATTTAAAAAACAACTGGAAGCATTAAAATCACTATGTGATACACATAATGAAAGTATAAAATTTTCATATATACTTTATTTCAAAGACATGGGTAAGCATATTATAAAATTCTATATCAAAAAATCTAAAATTCTGGAAAGGATTTAAATTCTTCATTACTTTCCAAGAGTTTTAAAAGCTACATCTCTTCTAAGAAACCACAATTGTAAACCTTGGAAGATGAGCTATGATGTGTATTAATAAGGCAACTCAGCCCTCCAGTATCTGGCATAATGAAATGAAAGGGTTTTTTTTTCTTTTATGTCAACAGACTGTTGGATGATAAGACATTCATTTGCTTTAAGTTAAAATAATATATCTAAAGCCTTTTGCAAAGAATTTTTATTATTCCCTTATATGATTTAAAAATTAATCCATAAGCAATAGATGAAAGGCTTCTGCCCTGTATAACCTGTGCCATTACAAAGGATGTATGTTGCTTTGCAAAGCTCAGTCTCACTTCTTTTTTTCATTGCTGTACCCTCAACATCTAACACAGAGTATGGCACATGGCAGACTATATTGTAGAATGAATCTATGATAAACAAGTTTCTATAAACTCTTTTTAGACAGACTTTGTCCCTTTGGAATGAAATGGTGAGTTAATTTCTATTTTGAATTAATCATTTTGTGTTACTGACAAGGAAGCACATGTGATAGACAGAAGTGAGGCAGTAGGTGGCCAAGCCTTAACTATATGTATGTGGTTAGCTTGGGCCCACTACCATCCCTTGGAAAGTGAAATGGCATAAGCTTTCAGTTATGCAAAATGATTAAGTTTTAAAGATCAGCTGCACAAAATTTTGTTAAGACTCTATTACACAATTAAAAATCTATTAAGAGGGAAGACCTCATGTTAAGTGTTCCTACCTTAAGAAAAGTTAAGCATATAATTTTTAAAAGAGAGAAAAGGTATTTAGAGCCAGACAGATATAGAATGGGAAACCCAGCTTCATCACATAATGAATGTGGAATATCATGTAAGTAACCTAACCTCTCTAAATTTCAATTTCATAATTTTTATGATGAGGATTATAAACACCTCCCAAAAAGTTTGTTAGGAATAAATGAAATAATGTATGCAAAGTACCTGACTCATTGAGTATAGCATTTCCTTTTCCTATAGAATATATGTATATGCAAACATTTACTAAAAACTAGGTATTTCATATATTTTAAATTCTAATGATTTAAAATTTTAGATCAACACAACTAAAATATCAGCTTACAACATAAGGTTCTTTAAAATACTGCAAAATCATAAATAATATTCAAGTATATATTATTTAATGGCTATATTTCCTCATTCCTATGTAGTCCCTCTATTTCTTAAATATTATTTTCTAGAAAACAAACCTCTCCATGGTTGAAAAAGTAGCATAGCACGGTAATTAGACCTCCTAATTGAGTCCCACTGTAAAAACAAATATGCAATCTTAATTCATGTAAAATATGTTGAATTTTTCACAAAATTATCTCAGAAATTAAAATCATAGTTTTCTATATTTAAAACATAGTAGTACCTAATCATGTACTAGTAAATATTTTAAAAGTATCCATGTGGTTGGTGTTTCAATCTTAAATGTACAAGCATGCAAAGTACAGGTATAAGGTAATCTAAATTTTAAAACTTACTACCTTTAAAATATTTTCAGAATAAAACATGTAAGCTGTGAATACAAAATATTTTTAACAACAAACCAGCACTTAGGAATTTGAATCACAATTTGTAATAATCTCAGTGGAGGCAAATTTTTCTTATGAAATTGTAATTAAGCAATTAAGAGATGGAGACAAGAGGCTAACGGTTTCATTTAACAGCAATTTAGAACTGTATAAATGACTACAAATATGCTTTTTAAGTCTTCAGGAAGCAACAATTTACAATACAAAAATCAGATGGCAACTAGTCATGGAAGAGTAAGAACTATTTCTCATGTTCCCATTTTGTTGCTGTGTGTGAGAGGGAGAACAGAGGATGCTCACACCCAAAGTTGTGTAGTGTTTTCATGTCTCCTCACACACCCTTCCAGGCCCCACGTTCTAAGTACCATGCCAACAGATGCTTCACATGTTTTGTTCACTGTATCTCCAACTTCATACTTGGAAGACAATAAATATTGGTTGAATGAATGTAAAAAGGAAGGAGTGCAAAAAAAAACAAGCAGAGAAAAGTTAATGAGAAGTGATTTACCATAAAAAGCCTTTAAGTAAAGGAATTCAAGTGATGTACTTTAAGAAAGAAGAAATTGGAAGAAGGAAGATGTGAGAATTAAGAACAAATTGTAAATATGGGAACTGGGCACATGTGGATGAACCTAAACATCTGATGACAAAGTAATAATAATATTGACTGGTGTGGAGAGTAATAGCAGTACTAAACTATGTTACTAACATGTCAGATGTGAGGGGATGTTGTGGAGTAAAGCATTCTAAAATTCCTTGTATTGGTCAGAAGAAGGGGAAAGATGTCAGTTTATTTTAGGTTTTGTTTCAGATTAGATCAAGTTAGAAGTTAGAGGTGCATGTTAGCATTTTATGGTTAGTCACTAAGGGAACAGAAACAGATTATCTATATTCCTAGTTAGTGCCAGTAAAGGAAAGTGGCCAGGGTAAGAAATACAAAAAAAAATTCCTCCAAATTTCTGTTTCTTTTGTTTCTTATATCTAAGGTTTCCTGTCTCTTCATAGTTTGGGTGACATTGTTATAGCCAGTATCGATTATATCTATGCATCCTTCTGGATGCGGAGACTGGAGACTAATGATGGATTTGGTATTTCAGAACTATGCAACCAATTTTGAGAGACTATTACTTCTTGGGCAACCCTTCCAGTGAAAAATACTAATTTTTAGAAGTTTTAGTCATTGCTGTTTAACATTTTCTATACTGAAAAAAAAACCCTATTTTCAAAAATAGAACATTTAAGTCTGACAAAATAATCTCAAAGTAATCCTTTCCCCAAAAAAACTTTGATTAGCATGAGTGTGTGTGCATACATGCATGCATATAAACTTTCCTATAAAGCATGTAGTAAAACATATAAAGTCTCCTGTTTATACTTAAAAACATGAACATGCAGGTTGCCACCATCTAAGTAGCTGAAAAAGAGAAATGGTTTCACCAAGTCCTCACCTGACTTTCCTGAGACAATTACCTGACTTTTGAGATTATCTGTAGAACCATCAATGTACATATCTAGCACTATTTGTACCCACCAATTTGCAGTATCTGCTCCGTCAATATATTGTCTTGGTTTTTTTTTTTTAAGGTACTAGGGTTTAAACTCAGGGCTTCACACTTGCTGGGCAAGTGCTCTACCAAATGAGCCCTTTTTGCTTTAATTTATTTTTTTCAACTACGGTTTCATGTTTTTGACCAAAGCCAGCCTGAGACTGCTATCTTCCTATGGACACCTCCCAAATAGAGGGGAATTACAGGTGAGAGGCACTGCACTCGGCTATCAAGTGTCTTTAAATATGTTTTTCTGCTTCTGTGCTCTACTCTTCCTTATGATCCATTTGCCTATCCCTTTGCCAATATCACAGTCTTATTTACATTAGCTTTATAATACAGCAATAATTGTTAAAGTAAGAACTCTAATCTTAAGAATGCATCAACTGTATTTGACCTTTTGCATTTCTGAGTAACTTTTTTATAGGGCTGGGGCTCTGAGTAACTTCTTAAAACAGTTCATAAAGGTAAGTGAAAAATGTTATGGAGATGGGATGATGACTGGTACAGCACCAAATCTTTAAATCAATTTGGGGATAATTGCCATCTTTTTGATATTTGGGGGGAACATAGAGTGTATATTCTTTTCCTTTTTCACTCAACATTATGTTTTGAACTTATTTTATTATTATAACTATTAAGACATTAATTGTACAAATTTATGAGGTTCACTGTGGTATTTCCATACATGCATACACTGTGCAGTGGTCATGTCCATCTACCTTTCTTCTACTCTCAATCCCAGTTCCTCCCCGTTGGGACCCTTCCCAGTGTCTAGAGTTCCCTCTTGATTTCTTTGTGTCTCTCCATCCCCATTACCCTTTCTTGTCTCTAGTGTCTAATATTCCATTCTGTACTTCTGCAAGGATGACTTATTGGCTTCCATAAATGAGATCATAAACATTACGTTTGAAGATATATTCACATTGTTGTCTGTAGTTTTAGTATGTTCATTCTTCTTGCTTATATGGTGTTTGTCTGTATAAATTTATTGATCAGTTCTGCTGTTGATGGATATTTGTGTGGAATGAAGCTTTTTACAAATGTACATGTGTTTGGGGAACATATGTGCATGTTTCTATTTGGTTTATACCTAGCATTACATTTAAAAGTAAAATGTTTAATATTATTCAATATTGAGTCTTCTGACCCCAGAAAAGAGCATCTCTATCCATTTTAGATTTTCCTAAATACATCTCAATAAAGTTTTAACCATTTTCCCACAAAGGTCATATATATCTTTTGCTGGATTTATTCTTAGGAACTTCATGCTTTTACTGCTAATGTAAATAGCATCCTTTCGTGGTTTAAGGTCAGCCTGGGCAAATAGTTCACTAAACCTCATTTCCAAAATAGCCAAAGCAAAATGGACTGGAGGCGTGACTTGAGTGGTACAGCATCTGCTTTGCTAGTGAGAAAGCCCTGAGTTTAAAAAAAAAAAAAAACATTTAGTGAATCCCAGCACTCAGGATGTCAAAGCAGGAGGATTTTGAGTTCAAGGCCATTCTAAGTTACATAGCCACATCCTGTCTCAAATAAAAGCAAACAAACACACAAATGAATAATTTTAGACAGATGCAGGATACAGACTAAGTTTTGGGAGCTTCTGGTGAATATTTAGCATTTAAAATCCGGAAAACTGATGAGATTTTCTAGGGAAAGTTTATAAAAGGAAAAAGTAGAGTAAGACTAAATGTAATTTGTAGATGGGAATATTTAGAAAGAAACTGCAAAGTATAACTTGCATAGCTCAGAAGAATATATTAACTTTATTTATAAAGGCATTGTGCTTAGTAATAATGATATTAATAAATGACGGAAAGCAAAGTATCTGCCTAAAACAGACTAGATATAAACTACTGTCCATCAAATTTTATTTCTGTTTCTGTAAAAATACCTAATCTCTGGAACAACATGGAAAATGCTTAAAAGTATGTGAGCAAAAATTAAGGAGGAATGTAAAAGTTGGACTGTATATGATTAAAACTGTGTAAAAATATGTGTATATGTGTTTGTACACATATAAATAGGTAATAATGAAACTAAATGAAAATTACTTACTTCAAAAAATAAATAGCATCCATTTAAAATTTGTTTGATAATAGAGTATAGAATTTATAATGTTTTGTATTAATTTTTGTACCCAGTAACATTATAAATTGTCTTGTTTCAAATACTTAATGTATAAATTAAAATTTTTTCTACATTCACAATTATGTGAACATGCTTTTCAGAACAATTATTTCTCTTTCCAATCCTTATCCTTTTTTTTTTGTTTTGGTGAAACAGGGCTTTGAACTCAGGTCCTCACACTTGATAGGCAAGCATTCTACCACTTGAGCCATACACCCAACCCTTTTGGCTTTAGTTACTTTTTAAGATAGGGTCTCATGTTTTGTCAGGAGCTACCCTTGGACCAAAACCCTCCCACCTGTACAACTCATGTAGCTGGACTACAGACATACACCACCAGGCCCAGCTTACTGATTGAGGTGGGGCTTGTTAACTTTTTTTGCCCAGATGGTCTCGAACCATCTTGATGTCCACCTCCTCAGTAGCAGGGATTACAGCTATGTACCACCATATCTGGCCTTTAATCCTTATACTTATTATTACTTTTTCTTAACTTACTGTGCTGGGTAGGATATCTGACACAGTGCTGAATGTGTTACTAATTTTCATTGATTTTATGCTGAAAACTTCTTCAAACAAGGGGTTTGTATAAACACTAATGTCTATATTAACATAAATCCTGTAAAACTCAATAAATACTTGTTGAAAAAAATACATCTACATTTTTAACTTCAGAATGTTAGCAGTTCCACTGAAGAAACCAAAAAAATGATAACAGTGGCTTAACAATATGTCATTCAACAAAAAATAAGTGTCTATTGGCATAATTGTTCAGCAGTTATGCCATATATATTTGCTACTTTTATGAATTTTCTCTCATGGTCACAAGATGTAACTCCAGGTAGTATATCCAAATAAAAGCATGAAGAAATAGAGAAGGGGCGTTTTGAATTTGCCCTTTTGCAAAGGTAAATGCTTTCCTAGGTGTAACCAAGGCTGACTATGCCTTATTTTTCACTGACAAAAGCTGGTTTTTATGGCTCTCCAAAGGAGCAATGAAAAGTAGGAGAAAACACAATTGTCATCTGAGACTAAGTACATTGATACTCCAAAATTGTGGCACTACTATCAAGAAAGATAGGCTAGCAAATTCAAGTGTCTACCACAGGTGATGCATAGTTTTTTAAATAGGTGACTTAATCTCATAAATAGAATAAAATTAGAAATAATATACTACTAATGCCAACCAGAGATGACATCTGGTGTTGTAATGATTTTATACACAAACTAGAGGTATTTTCATTAAAACCTTTGCTTTAAAATCTTTAGTTTTTAAAAATATCCCTACAAGGATAAAGGGAGGGAGGTCTTTAAGACATTCTTAAAGCAGCAGCTCCAGTTTCTGACTATATGGTATTAAACTCCTGAAAAATCAAGTAATTCTACAAACTTTCCTATGAATGAATTCATCTCATTTGTTCTCCTTTTCATTTGATCAACAAATATGTGTTGGTCCCTATAAACTCACTGTTAAGATCTTTTAATTTGGCAGTCTTACCTCAGATATGTACCATATATGAAGAACAATCCCATCATTAGTCCATTTAAAATAAAAATCACACCGATGTAAAAGCAAGCAGGGTCTCCCAATCCTTTAAAAAGATACACATGATTCAGTATTCAGTATTCAATGAACAAATGGCTATAAAGCAATTGAGCATAATTGTTTCAGTGCTTTGCAATCAAGAGCATGAATTTGCTGAAATTATTTGCTTTCCTGATTGCTGCTTGAATAGTTATAATAATCTTCATCTTTCTACAGCTTTTTTTTTAACAGTGCTGAGGATAAAACCCAGGGCCTCACATACTCCAGTTGAGTGCTCTACCACTGAACCACACCCCCAACCCCCTACAATATACATTTAGTTATATTTATACTTTCCCTTAATGAAGTATTTTTAGACTGCAGTGATTTAGGTGGTTCTGCAATTGTTCAGTGTCTGGAACCATCTGTTGAGCCATGTAGTGAAGTCCCAGAGAAAAGCCAATGTAGTATTTTTATCTTTTGACAAGTTCTTGGATGACTAAAACATAATTCTTGACCTCAAGTAGTACTTCAGTCTATATGAGATGGTCAGTTATTTGATCTATTATTGTGTATAGACAAAATCTTAATGTATCCCATATATAAGACTGTGTTTGTATGTGTAGCACTTCCTATGTTTTATAATCACCATTTCACGTAATTCTCAGATGAAATTAATGCGGTGAGTTGGTATGAAAGTATTTTTTATGGCTGAGGAAACACAGCATAGAAAACTCACCAAAGGGTACTTGGCTCCACACTGGAGTCAACTCTGCAAGCTAGCTCTTATGATTCCTTCTCCCTCTCTGACAACTCCTTTCAATGTGTTCTAAAAACCTCCTCCTCAACACTGGATCACCTTAACCCTGTGACTTGCTCTGTTCTCTCAGTTTGCATATTCTCCTTAAGAAAATTCTTGGGAAAAAATTGGCAGCTACGGTGGGGAAATCAGATCCCCAAAGCTTGAGATGATGGAGCCACACTTGGGTAATTCTGATTGCTCCAAGCCAAAATAATAACCACCAACACATTAGGTGCAGATAAAAATTCAAAGACTAACCCTTAAATAACCTTTAATTGCACCTAACAGCCACGAAAATCCCTCCTGGCACAGCCAGCAAGGCACATCCAGCTCTGGCCCTGGGAGAAAAGTCCCCAGCTGCTTCTCATTCTATGAAGCCAGTTTTACATTCCTCCCAAAACCAAACAAGGACATACCCAAAAAGGAGAACTACATGCCAATCTCCACAATGAACATCGATGCAAAAATCCTTAATAAGCCAAATCCAACAACATATCAGAAAGATCACTCACCACAACCAAGTCGGCTTCATCCCAGAGATGCAGGGATGATTCAACATATGCAAATCAATAAATGTAATACAGCACATTAATAGAAGCAAAGATAAAAACCACTTGATAATTTCAATAGATGCAGAAAAAGCCTTTGATAATATTCAACACCACTTCATGATAAAAGTTCTAAGAAAACTAGGAATAGAAGGAATGTACCTCAACATTATAAAGGCTATATATGACAAACCTATAGCCAACATCATAGTGAATGGGGAAAAACTGAAACCATTCCCCCTAAACTCAGGAATGAAACAAGGGTGCCCACTGTCTCTATTCCTATTCAACATAGTCCTGGAATTCCTAGCCAGAGTGATAAGGCAGGAAGAAATAAAAGGAATAAAAATAGGTAAAGAAACAGTCAAAGTATACCTATTTGCAGACACATTATCCTATACCTCAAAGACCCAAAAAGCTCTACCCACAAAGTTCTAGACACCATAAACAGCTTCAGCAATGCAGCAGTATACAAAATCAACTTACAAAAATCAGTAGCCTTTTTATACATGAACAATAAACAAATTGAGAAAGAATACAGGAAAACAATTCCACTTACAATAGCCTCAAAAAAATCAAATACCTAAGTAAACTTAACAAAGGATGTGAATGACCTCTACAAGGAGAACTACAAACCTTTGAAGAAAGAGATCAAGGAAGACTACGGAAGATGGAAAGCTCACCCATACTTATGGATTGGTAGAATCAACATAGTAAAAATGGGATACTACGAAAAGTAATCTACCTGTTCAACACAATTCACATCAAAATCCCAATAACATTCATCACAGAGATTGAAAAATCTACCCTAAAGTTCATTTGGAAACACAAAAGACTGTGAATAGCCAAGGCAATACTGAGCCAAAAAAAGCAACTTTGGAGGTATCTCAATACCCAACTTCAAACTGTACTACAGAGCCACAGCAATAAAAACAGCACAGTACTGGCACAAAAACAGGTATGAAGACCAGTGGAACAGAATAGAGGACCCAGCTATGAATCCATGCAGCTATGCCCAACTTATTCTTGACAAAGGCCCCAAAAAAGAGAAAAGACAGCCTCTTCAACAAATGGTGCTAGGAAAAGTGACTATCTGCCTGCAGAAAACTGAAACTAGATCCATGCCTGTCACCATGTACTAGTATCAAATCAAAGTGGATTAAAAATGTTAATATCAGACCCAAAACCTTGCAGTTAGTGCACAAAAGAGTGGAGAATACCCTGGAAACAATAGATATAGTCAAGGACTTCCTCAGTAGAACTCCATCACCCCAGCAACTAAGAGAAAGGATGGACAAATGGGACTACATGAAATTAAAATCTTCTGCACAACAACAGAAATGGTCTCTAAATTGAAGAGACCACCCACAGAGTGGAAGAAAATATTTGCTAGCTATACATCAGACAAAGCACTGATAACTAGAATATATAGAGAGCTCAAAAAACTAAACTACCCCAAAATCAATGAACCAATAAAGAAGTGGGCAACTGAACTAAACAGAACTTTTTCTAAGGAAGAAACCTAAATGGCCAAAAACACATGAACAAATACAAACCATCCCTGGCCATAAAGGAAATGCAAATCAAAACCACACCAAGATCCCACCTCACTCCTGTTAGAAGGGCTATCATCAAGAATACAACCAACAACAAATGCTGGCGAGGATACAGGGGAAAAGGAACCCTTATACATTGCTGGTGGGACTGTAAACTAGTAGAACCATTATGGAAAACATTATGGATGCTCCTTAAAAAACTAAACGTAGATCTGACATATGATCCAGCAATACCACTCCTAGGGATATACCCAAAGGAGTGCAACTCAAGTTATTACAGAGGCACCTGCACACCTATGTATACTGCAGCACTATTTACAATAGCTAAGCTATGGAAACAGCCAAGATGCCCCACAACTCATGAATGGATCAACAAAATGTGGTATTTATACACAATGGACTTTTACTCAGCCACAAAGAAGAATGAAATTTTATCATTCGCAAGTAAATGGATGGAACTGGAGAACATCCTCTTAAGTGAAGTTATTCAGGCTCAGAAGGCCAAAAATTTTCTCTCTATATGCAGATTATAAAACAAATGCAGTAGTATTTTTGGAAACGGGTCACATGCAAAGGGGAGTATGTGCATGGGAGGAATAGGGAAAGAGAAGGAAACCTAAAACTTGAATGTAGTTGATGTGCTCCCTGTTAAGGAGGGAATAAAGTAATCTTAAATTAGCAGAGGCCACTATGAGAAGGGGAACAAGAAGTAGCAAAGAGGTCTGGTAGAGATGAACCAATGTGGGTTGCAATACACAAGTGCATGGAAGCAACACTAGGAATCTCTCTATATAGCTATCTTTATCCCAAACTAGCAAAAATGCTATGTCTTTCTTATTATCTCTTATGTTTTCTCTTTAACAAAATCAGAGATGAAGAGGGCAGAACAGGTTCTGCCTGGAAGCGGGGAGGGGAGGGGAAGGGGGCGGCTTGGGGGTGTCAGATGGTTAGGGGTGTGGGGGGGTTGGTGGAGAGGTGGCACAAACAATATATACACATGTAAGTAAATGTAAAAATGATAAAATAAAAGGAGAAAGAAAATTCTTCCACTTTCATAGCTCCAGTTACCATCTTTATAAAGATGACACTAAGTCTGTATTCAGATTGGAACTTTCTTCTTATTCCCAAACTATATATTCAGGTAACCATTTAACATCTCCACTTTGATATCTTACAAGTACCTCAAACTAAACCATTCACAATGAAATAGCTGATGTCTTACAAGTACTTCAAACTAAAACATTCACAATGAAATAGCAATTCTAACTGGTACCTTTCACATTTCCTACCATCCAAAGGGACTCAATGACTCAAGCTAGAAACCAAGCAGAGAGTTACACACAACTCTTCACTTTCCTTTCTCTCTCCCAAATATCTTATTTCCAAAATGCCTCTCAAATCCAGGTTTTCACAGTTATCTTTCCTACACTCACTTGTTGAGAGCACAACAGTCTTCTATCTGGCCTCACGGAACTCATCTCCATCCTTTATTAATACCCTCTCTATAGAACTGCTAAAATAGTGTTTCAAGGTGTGAATGTGTTGAAGTTCTTCAATACAAAAAAATCCTTCACCAGCATATGACTTGTCATGATCTCACCCTTGCTTCCATTCCAGCATCATTTTCCAACAGTTTTCTTCCCTGTTCTCTATTCAGGATGTCTAGTCTCTCAGCTTCCTTTTGTCTCAGAATTTTAAAATATGTTGGTCCCCATTCTTGAAATACTTCTTACTTCTAACATCAGCAGCCTTAGTTTGTCATTTGCACTATCCATCACAGTTATAAGTGCTTACAGGCCTCATATAATGTAAACTCTGAGGAGAAGACCACATCCACCCATCTTTCATTATGTCCCAAGTGCCAAACACTAACTTATCATTCATTGGGAACTTAATACTCTATGTACTCCTATAGAAAGTGAGGTTTTTCTTCCCTCAAAAAAAATTATACTTTCTACATAGCTATCAATACTCTAATTTTATGTGGCATTATGTCCATTCCTTTATGTTCCTTAAACATCTATCAATGTTATTTTACATCTTATAAAGATGATCTAAAGGAATCAATAAAAATGTAATAAATACAAATTTCTTATTTATATTACTATAAATAAGATATGTTTATAAAATATAGTAAATAGTCAGATAGTGGAAACTTTGAAGAAATAAAAACAACTGTGTAAATATTATGCAAGTAGACATGTAGCACTGAATAGGAGTCTCAAAAGACAGCATCATACATGAATTGTAAAAGCACTGGACTACAAAACCTTAAACAGAAGTGACTAACCATTATATGTCCTGGAAAACTGTTACATAATTCCAAAAGTAGTTTCTTCACCAAGACACCAATGTAGAAGATACAGAAGAAAAGTTTGTTTAAAATTATCCATGGGCTGTGAGCAAGTAGTAAAATAATATTTCTAATACAATCTATTTTTATATATGTGATTAAGTACTTACCAAATGAATTCATTAACTATTTCAAGATATATTTGACTGATTAATCTAGCCTCAAAATTTATATATTTAAGTCATCCAGAACACTTTTTTTTGTATTATCTCATTCTGAAATGGAAGACTTTTACTCAAAATTGCTTTACACTGGAGTATGTTAGTACTCAAATTCCAAACTTATATTCAAATTATTAAGTACATAGACGTCTCAGAAAACTCCTTTAAAGTGTAAAATACTTATTGAGATGAATCATTTCTACGGTGTTTTAAAGACAAAAGTTAATCTCGGTAGTTTTCAATGATTGTTAAGATGAGTTATGCCATAGCAAGGTTTATGGAAATGCAGGTGGCAGATCAGCAGTGTTTGGGGAAGACATGCCTTCACAGCTTTGAACTTCATTGAGAGGTTCTATTCTGGTGACATTCCAGCAGGTCTTCGTTTCTACCCCCAATAAATTCATTGTTCCCATGAACATGCGATACCAGTAGGCTATGACTACCTACAAAGATAAAAATAGAAAGACAAAACAGAATATGTTCCCTTCCAAATAATAATTTTTCCCAAAATACTATTTTATCATAGTATTATAAACACTGACAAACTTTTTAAAGGATTACTCTTAAAATTTTATACATATATATATTCTAGGATATATATATACACACACACACACTAACCAATTCTATAACTGCAAAAACCAAATATAAAAGTATGCAATTAAAATATGATGGCATTTACTGAAAAATATAAATATTTACAGAAATAATTAATGGCATTTCATTTAAATTTTTTGCTTTCTTCATTAAAATATATGAAGTATATTATTTGAAAAACGGGAATGAAGTAGAATAACATCCCCTATACCCATGGAAACTTTGACCAAACAGAAGATTTAACTATAATTCCTAGCAATCTTCAATCTATTATTTTTCTTTTTATGGTACTTGAGGGTCAAACTAGGGTCTTGTGCTTGCTAGGCAGGTGCTCTGCCACCCCTTTTTTGCTTTAGTCATTTTTCTAAAAGGGTCTCACTTTTATGTTTGGGATGGCCAGCACCACAAATCTCCTATTTACACTTCCTGCAGATCTGGGATGACAGAGTGTGTGCCACCACACTCAGTTTATTTGTTGAGATGTGGTCTTGCTAACTGTTTTTCAGGACTAGCATCAAACTGAGATCCTCCTGTTCTCCACCTCCAGAGTAGCCAGGATTATAGGTGTGAGCCACCATGTCAATCCACTTTTAAAAACTCAAAGACAGGGGGTAAAAAAAGAAGAAGAAATTACAGAGAAAATGTTCATAGCTGGGAGAGTTCTTTAAAAAAAAAAGACCTAAAGTTTGAAAAAATAATCTGAGATCATTGTGGGGAGAGTCAAAATACAAAGAATTGAAAAGAGAAAGTAAGAACCACCTAATGGCTAACACTTTCAACATTTGGGTGGTCATCATTCCCATCATCTCCCTGGGCAATTAAAGCACATAGCTAGTTACTCAATATTATAGAATGCCATCATATTTTAGGCACTAGGGTCATACATACTAAACATCATAAACATCTTTCCATGTCCAGAAAGTGTAGATTTACTATTTTATCATTTTATTTTTCAAAACTAGCATTCTGCTAAAATTTGTCATTTCTATTGCTGTCATACACATACAGAAAATTACTACATTACATGTATGTGCTAAATCTAGAATTATAGTCCTCTCAAGAATGCACTTTAACATGGTAGGGAAAGCATGGCTTTGAAATCAGGATTGAACTCAAAATTCTGACTCTGAAAGTTATGGTGTCCATGGGCTCACATGATCCTTCAGCCTCTGACCCTCAGCTCATCTTTTAAGCGAGTTTAATGATAGCCATTTTGCAAGAGAGATGAGATGAGATGAGAGCTTATATGTAAAGTGCTGGCATATAGTAAGCATTAAACATTTTTACCTTTCAAAACATATTGCTCTAAACTTTTTTGGCTTAAAATGATACATTAATCTCATGAACACAAAAAGTATGAACATACAACTTAACATTCTCATACTACACAGAGTTGGCAGTAAATCCAGGCCTTCTTAATTTTGCATTTACGCAATGCAAAAATACACCAGAACAACCTGTTTGTCCTTCACAGTGGTATCAAGATTTAAAAACATATTTACTATATTATTATAATTGTCTTTTAATAACATCAAAGAAATCAATAATGTGCTTATTTAAAATAACCAGTGTTGAATAAGTAAAAAGAAAACAATAAAATCTCTAAGACTATACTGTTGGAAACTAGTGGAACAAGAAATACAGGTTTTATTATATAATCAAGACAGCCCAAACCCACAAAACTAAAAGTAGTAACTATCAAGTGGAAGATATAGGGCTAGCATAAGTTAAACCTTCGTCTTACAAATGCAGAGGAAGTCAACATTAACTGAGGTTGAAAACACATGAAATGGGTTTCTTGTCTCTTTGACTTTTGTACTTATACTAGAGTTACAGAGATAAACTTTGGAGCAAATAAGAACAGAAGAGTAATATGATATATTTGATCTATTGTAAGAACTTGTGTAAATGCCACAAATGTACCCCCACCCAGCACACCAATAAAAAATAAATTTTAAAAAAGTCATAAACAACAACAAAAAAGCCGAAGAGTAGTGCTGAGGAGTAAGCTGAGATTCAGAGAAAGGTGGTGTAGAAAAATGTTCCTGTCATCTTAGCAGGACTATGCTATATAATTGTTACTATTACAAATTACATTTAAAAATCTATAGAAATCAAAAACATAAAGATCTGGGGAACCTCTAAATATTTGAAAATTAAACAACACAACACAATTCTAAATACCCAATGGATAAAAGAAGAAATCACATGGGAAATCAGAAAATAATTTATGTGTGTGTGTGTGTGTGTGTGTGTGTGCAATACAACTATTTGCTTTAAGAAGATGGAATACATGTGCTTTTGCCTGTTATTCCCTCCAAGTACAACTAAAAATCCTTTGAATTATACATAAAGCAACATAAGAAGACTCTTGAAAGGTAGAGAGAAGAAAGCAGACTAGGAACCCAAATAATAACAGGGTTGTGAGACCCCTGTGATTTTGTCTCATTTTCTCATATTTCGAGTGAAAAAGGTTGGCAATTCAGATGATAAAATATTAGGATGATAGCCCCTGTACTAAAGGAAAGAGAAACAAAGAATGGTTAAATACTGTTTTATCTGGACCCAAGAAGCAATAAGCCAAAAAAGCCTTTGGTTTTTTGGCCAAAATTTGGGTCTGACAAGGACTGGGTCTGTCAACTATTAATTGAACATGTAAATGACAAGAGCCCAGTCACTCAGAGGAGATGGAATATGCCCTCTTTTGGAGACAGAGTCCTGTAGTCCTGTTTCCACTTAAAGGAAAGGAAAAAAAAAAGATTAAAAAGACCCCCAAACCCCTTCTAACTGGGATTTATTCTCCTCTCTTCCCCCTCCCTTATAACCCTGCTGTTCCTCAGCTCAGGTGCCATAGCCGGCATGCCGCCACCCCAGGCTTCCACCTCTCCATCTCCCCCTTCCCTCCCTACCCGAACCCCCTCCCCACCATGACTGCAAAGGTAGTTAGAACAATGTCATAAAGACATTGAGAATCTACCTTTTCCTCAGTCTGAAGAAGAAAAACCTTATTCCCTCTTTCCTCTCAGGAGGTTCCCCTCGGAGGAGGTGAAATTGGGTTAGTAAATGCCCCTTTTACCAGCTCTGAGGTCCAAAATTTTTAAAAGTTTTGACCTCTTCTCGAGGATCCCTTCGGGGGTCTCAGAACAGGTTGATCAATTTCTGGGACCACAGATATATACCTGTGCTGAGTTAATGTCTATCTTGGGAATTCTCTTCTCAGGGGAGGAATGGCTATCTGGGAGTGTGAACACCCCTAGGGACAAAAAGTCTCTTAATCAAGATCCCTGATGGGATAACAGCACCCCAGGGCACTGAGAAAATATAAGAGACTTGAGAGATTTAATAATGAGGGGATAGTCAGGGGGAGGTGGTTAACACAACCATTAGCTTTATAAATTTCCTGGGAAGCCAGAAACTTCATATTTCAAAGAATAAGTTACAATCTGCTGAGACTGAAGTAAAATATCTGGGACATTTAATCAGTAAGGGCCAACAAAGTCTGGGTCCAGAAAGAATAAAAGGAATCACTGGTCTCCCTCTCCCAGGAACAAAACAAGAACTGAGAAAGTTCCTTGGCTTAGTGGGATATTGCCATTTGTGGATAAACTCATATGCCCTTAAAACTAAATCTTTATATCTCAATTGACCCAAGAGGGACCAGATACCCTTCTTTGGACCCCCAAGAAGATAAAACAAGTCAATGAGCTAAAACAAGCCCTTATCACAGCCCCGATGCCAGCCTTGCCCTCTCTTGAACAGCCTTCTCATCTCTTTCTAAATGTGAACCAGGGAGTTGCCCTCGGGGTGCTAACCCAAAAATATTGGGGGGGGGTGGCTAACATCAATGTGTGGCCTTATCTAAATTCCTAGATCCTGTCACCTGAGGCTGGCCTGAGTACATTCAGGCAGTAGCAGCTACAGCCCTTCTAACTGAAGAAAATAGAAAAACCACCTTTGGGGTAAACCTAATTATTAGCACTCCCCATCAAGTTAGAACAATCTTAAACCAGAAGGTGGGTAGATGGCTGATGGATTCTAGGATCCTAAAGTGTAAGTCTATCTTGCTAAAAAAGGATGACCTGACTCTAACTACTGACAAGGCCCTAAGTCCAGCCAGCCAGTTTCTTGGAAGGGGAAGCAGGAAGGAGGAGCCCCACACATAAATGTTTAGGTATTATTGAATACCAAATGAAAGTAAGGCCAGACCTTGGGGAAACTCATTTCCAGACTGGGTTCCATTTCTTTGTGGGTGAATCCTCTTGGGTAATCGAGGGAAAAAGACATAATGGGTAGGCCTTGACTATAATAGAATCCGTCTGACTCCATAACAATTTGTCAGCACAGGCTTGCAAATTGTTTGCTCTAAATCAGACTCTTAAAAATCAGCCCACTAAATTAGTCTTAGAAACCAGATTACCTTGGATTAAATGCCTTCCCATAGCACTATTCAGGATAAGGAAGACCCCTCAGAAGGACATTGGCCTCTCCCCTTATGAGGCGATTTCTGGTCTTCCTCACCTTAGCTCTGTTACTGATGTGCCTACCTTTGAAACCAAAGACTGTTTCTTCAAAAATTATATACTTGGATTGTCCTCTACCTTACTTGCTCTTAGGAAAAAGGGGTTGTTAGCACAGGCTCCTCCACCTGACTTTCCTGTTCACCCATACCAGCCTGGCAATTATGTGCTGATCAAGACCTGGAAAGAAAATAAGCTTGAGCCAGCTTGGGAAGGACCCTTCCTGGTCCTGCTGACCAGGGACACAGCTGTCTGGACCGGAGAGCAGGGGTGGAGTCACTACACATGGGTAAAGAAGGTGCCCCTACCCCACCAGAAGGAACAATGGG